AGATAGCATGTTGTGTCTGCTGCAGACACATTTTACTACAGCTACATGTGCTACTGTAGCTTTAGCCCTTTAGGGTCACTCCTTGAAGAAAGCAATCATTTTTTTTATTTTATAAGATGCAGGACACAGATAACACACACACACACACACACACACACACACACACATATATATATATATATATAATTTGTTTTTGAGCCCCTGTTTTTTACTTTATTTTAGGCTTTTACCAAATAATTGAGATGCAGTTTGATAATAAATAAGAATAATGCATAATAGTGCTTTTTTGGACTTTCAAAGACACTTCACACGTCATTATTCTTTCACTCCATACACGATGCTGATAAGCTGCAACTGTAGCCAAAGCTGCCTTGGGGCACACTGGCAGAAGCAAGACAACCAGTTTGGTACATGCTACTGGTACTGTGGCACATGGTGTTCCCAAAAATCTCCCACCACAGTACTAACCAGGCCATGCCCTGCTTAACTCCAGAGGTCTAATAGGATCTAACTTTCTCCTGCAGGCATGGCCACAATGGTAAAAGTGCCTAAAACTTAGAGATGCAGATGCCCCAAAGAGATAGATTTCAGCTCCAGGCTTCAAGTCGATTATAAAAATGGTCAGACTGTACAATAAGTCACTTTAAGTCATGCAGTAGGGAAAAAAAACCCCATAAAAACATGCACTTCTATTGCCACTGTTTCTTGATTGCCACTTTTATTGTAAATGAATATATCCTGAACAGACTGTATTTTTTTGCCTTAAATATGTTTCAAACTTCTGCCTTGCACAATCCTATCTATGCCAAAGTGACATTATACATTTCTCCTGTGTGATCAATTATGTCTATCTTATCTTAAACTCAAACTGTGATCCAACAGGAAGGAGGAAACCATTAAAGGGTTAATAGAGCTTTCTATCAGAATGGTGCATGATGAAGCAGAGGTCCCCCACACACTCCTGCGCCTCTGTAGACTAACACACGTCATTATAATGTGATTTATGGGACTGTCGCCGCTCCATTCATACTCTGACTCACATATTCAAGAATGGCTGACGACCGGGGGGCTTTTCTCATGAATTATTGCCCATTACACTCGCATATGTTCACGCCTTTCCATTTTTAATATTCCGCCTGCATTATGAATCAGTATACAGTTCCAAACGGCTGCTTGACAAACGAGGCCGAGATCTGAACTGACAAGCTGCTTCTTCAGGAGGACAGCTCAGCAGGGGTTCCGGGAAGGAGGTTTTGACTTTAACTTCCTAATACAGTCACGCTTTTATGATAAGCAGAGGTATTTTTACTGACTGTACTTAAAGCTGGAGGAGAAACCACAACACTATAACTTTGTAAAAAAATCATGACACTCGTCCTTCTCTCTCAAAAAATTGAAATTTCCCCACTATGCGACGAATAAAGGATTTCTTATCTTAAAACTATCACTTGTTTCTGTCACTAGTTTTAACATCTGTGTGTTATTGGCCTCTGTCACATCTATACTAGCCTGGTCGTACCACACCATAGTACAGATGACATTTGGTACTAAGGTCTGGAGGTGCTCCATTGAGCTCCGTTTACAGATGGGAGGGGTTAACTCCTTTTGCAGAGTGAAACGATTGGATCTGAGTTTACTGTGACGTATGTAGTGCGCCCGAGTCTGTTGTTAGCATGTAGCATTTAGCCTAGCCATCTCCTTTGCCGCTAACAAAGCCCGTGGGGAGTAGCGCCACAATTTTTTCCAGTGATTACATTTGCTAAACATTCCTCTTGCTCCGGCTTCAATGTCTTGATAGAACCAGACCGGATTACTTTACTATCGCATTCTTCGCCATTGCCAAACTACAACCTTCCTGTTCGACGCAAACTCTTGACATCACCCACAACTAACTACAACACCCGCCTCCCGCGCTCTCTGATTGGTCGGTCAAATTTTGACCGATTGTAATCGCTAACACAGGGACTAGACCCAGATGTTACATGCAGTGAAATGATAATTGATAATTAATTGAACGGAGTAATGATAATTGAACGGAGTAATGATGATTGAACGGAGTGTACGATGGCTAAGGCCAGGCTACATCTATAATATCTTTAGTGAAAAAGAGAAGACCACCCTCACTCAGCCAATCAGCTTACAATTTGCAAAAGGTCCATATCCCGCACACTATGGACCAATGGCTGCTGTATGTTTGTTATTATTGCATTTCTTGTGCTCGAACTATTCGTTTCTCTAACCTGTTGTTACGGAATTGACCGTTGTAATGATATATACTGTAGCTAAACACAATTGAATTGAATGGAATAAAAAAAATTGTTCCATCTGATTTTCACATAATCTTTTTTTTCTCATGAATTACAAATATACTTTCTACTCCTGACATTGGTGTATTGCAGTGCTGGTAGATGGGTTTGTTATTCTGAACACTTTTGCAGATGACAAGTCTGGACAGTGTGGCCTTTGGTTAATTCATTCAGTAGCTCAGTAAGATAAGATAAGATAAGAATTCCTTTATTCGTCCCACAGTGGGGATATTTCGATGTTGCATCGCACATATAGGACAGTAGTAAGAGCACACAGGGAGCACACACAATATATACAAATAAGTATTAGCTATGTTTCTTAGCTAACATAACTAGCTGTAGATGCTGAAAAAGCTTCAATACCAGTCAAAAAATATATATGTAGTAGTGCAGTTATATACTGTACAGTTAAATAGTGCAGGATAAAAAGTATATAAGTAAAGTGACATGAGGTAAAGTGACATTGTTCTGTGACATCCTGAAGTTGCAGTATTGCACATGATTTAAGAATTTACTTAATTACAGATGAATGAAATGTACAGGCTCAGCAGTTCTTATTGTACAGTCTGACAGCAGCAGGAAGGAAAGACTTGCGGAACCTCTCCTTCACACAGCAAGGGTGAATTAGTCTGTCACTGCTCTCCAAAAAAACAGTTTTTTTCCAACTTGCAACTTGGCAAATGCCTGAACTGCATTGTAACTTTTGAAGAGTTACTTTTAAAGTCAGAACTTTGTTTTGGTATTTTTTCCCTTTTTTCCCCTTGAAAAAAGCCGACAATGTCCAAACAACTCACAGTGCATAAAAAGCCCTCTCCATGACACATACAAGTGTTTGGATGCTAATCATAGAACACAGACTATACAACATCAACATTGTTCCTTGACCTGACCTGTAATTGTTTTTAGGTCCATCCACGCTTTTATTAGAAACTTCCTGCTCAATTCTTTATGAACATGTCCCGTTTGGACGATCAGACTTCTGCTGATTATTTGTTGCATACATTTGAGCTGGAAGTCTATAAACCCAGGCAGAGACGTCATCGTTTTGACCATATTTGAGAGATTATGACATACATTTCGTTTCATTGATGGTTGTTTTTTTGCGTTGTCGTTCATTATCTTCAAACGGCCCAAAAAAAATAAAACTTTTTTACTGCTAAATTCCTGAGGGTTTATCTGACAGCATTACAGAGTGGATGCATTATGTCATATGTTATCAACGTGCCAAAATGCCTGTTGCCATAAGAAGTGGTTAGTCTTATGTCACACATGAGGCGCATAGACAAAATGCGAAAATAAGAAATCTCCATAAGGGCCCTCCACAAAGTTACATAATGCACCTGTATTTGTCTCCCACTGCTCACGATCTTTGAATGCCCTTTTACACGTTAGATAATCTGGGTTCTCTCTGAGCTCGGATCCCCAGTGGAGTAGCACAAACACACCTGTAATAGCATCCGTCTGTATGTGCTCTCAAACCTCTCCTCTGTGTCTGGGTCTGCTCCTGTGATCGCTGCATCGATCCCCTCCTTTACCTTGCAGTGCTTGCATAACATCCAGGCTACCGCTAATTAGACTTAAAGGACAAGAAAGACTTAAAACATCGTTGCATCATCAGAAACAGAGTTTCATAACTGCTCATATCGGCATATCCCCCCCCCCCCCTCACAGAATGCTCCATGTTGGTGATATGTGTCAATCATACTGGATCTTGAGCCTTTTTGTATCCCTCTCTCAAAGTTGGCTTCCTCAAGGTTTCTTACTTTTGAGTTTTTTGTTGTTGTTCCTTGCCGATTCAGGAGGTCAGTGGTGGTGATCTGGGACATTTGAGGACATATAAGGACATTAATGGACATTTATTAACATTTAAGGACATTTATGGATGTTTTTATTTTTATTTTCAGACAGTGGTCCTCCCGCTCCTTGCTATGTGTTTGTTGTTATTGCATTTTCTGTGTTTGAACTGTTTGATTTGCTGATCTGTGTTGTAATAGTCCCCGACGAGACAACTACTGTTGAGATTTAGGGCTATACAAAAACTAATTGAATTGAGTTGAATTGAATGGTTTTAACAAACTACAGATCCATGTTTTTCATATTCCTGTGTCAACCTGAGACAATAGTGGAAATTGGCGTGTTAACTGGTGTCGGCTTTTAACCATGGGAAAGAAAGGAAATGGTCAAGTTACTCTTCCGACTTTCAACATCAGTCTTCTGGTGCAGTTTATTTCTAGCACTAGTTTTCACATGCATGTATTTTAGGCTTTTGTCACATTTTAATTTTAGTTTTTCACACAGAACAATTAAAAAGAGAAGACACCCCGTCAGCTCTCACCCCAGAACATTAAAAAGTGACTCATAGGGCTTTGTCTTACTGTATGCAAAAGATAACATGATTTCAGACTTTACAAAGTTGTTTATTTTCCAACATAGATCAGAAGAGAATCAAACAAAGGAATTACAACAATAAAAAAACATATAGAGCCATTGGTCCATAAGGGGCTGATGACCAATGTCCATAAATATTAATATGTTAAAACTCCCAAGATGGATTGAGGGCTGCAGAGATTTCTTAAAGTTCTAACACTGCAAAACATTAGGAAAAGCGTCAAGATTATGGAAAAATGAGAAAAAAATAAGAAGAATGTCCTATGGTGAGTGTATATTGTTGTAATCTCTGGCCTCTGTTCACAGCACGCCATCGAGGCCATGAACGCCGGAGTGAGTCCTCTGGGGAACGCAACGCACTTCTCCAGCTACTGGGACATGGACGGGGGATTCTTCTTTGCCGGGACAATCATCACCACAATAGGTAACAACCATACAGCCCTGTACCCTAACAACCTCATAGCCTTATACCCTAACAACCACACAGCCCTGTACCCTAACAACCAAACACCCCTGTACCCTAACAATGTTATATCTCATTCTTCCTGGCAGACATCTCAAGACTGATCTTATTTAACTGCGGAATCTGTGAAAATAAAGCATTTTCTAGAAAAGATAAAAACATCACAACTTAAACAATTAAAATTTCCCCTCTGTGGGATGAATAAATGATCTGTCAATATACAGTATAGATATATTGATATTAAGATTAACAGTCAGAAATGTTCATGTTTCATACAACAGAAACTATATCAAATTGCAGTTAATTAATTCTATAATTTGAAGAGAATCGGTGTAGAGCCGCGTTTCTTCTTCCGCACTGTAGAAAGAAAACATTCAGATCATGTTGATCTGTTCATACACACTGTGGATTTATCGTTTTCAATTTGGTCTCACGTCATATGAGGCGTGGATGCGTGAAATACAAATATTAAAGGGATGTTGTGAAGGAGGAGACACAGACACATGTGGACTCGCCAATGTCACCGCAAGAATCAGAGAAAGCCACACGTGACTCTCAAGAATACTGTGAAGTCCAGACTGAAGCATATACTGGACCATTAGTTTGTGGAATTTATACGGTATATTTACTGAAGGCCTCTGGAGTAAAGCATGTGGACATTTATGGACATTGGTTACAGATAGATAGATAGATACTTTATTGATCCCCGTTTGAGAAATTCAGGTGTCGAGTAGCAGCAGAAACACACCCATCCACACAAACAAACACAATAACTAATAACAATATCATTAAAATGCAACAACCCTTTAGGTCACAGCAGCAGAGGTGGGTTCAGACCATGTTCTAGTCCAAAGTGAGATGCTGAATGTTTTGCTAGCAGTATCCCAAAAGTTAGCATTCCTCCAGTGGATTTTTGCCTGAGCCGCTTGTTTCGGACCATGAATCCTCTCTGCTCTGGTCTGGACCAGTGTGTTTTTCCTCATTACATTTCTTGTGTTTGAACCGTTTGATTCTCTGATCTGTTTTGCCGAATCGACGGTTTTGCAAAGTCCTCAGAGATAACGACTGTGATTTAGGAATCAAATTCACTTGAATTGAACATACTGACACACACACACACACACATGCAAGTACACACAATACGCACACATTCACACAAATCCTTCCTGACGCAATGTTTCATCAGCAATACTTCTCCTGCTGTCATTCATCACGGGCTTACGTCACAGCTCCCCGAGTGGCCAAGGCTGTAAATGCGCTTCCTGGGAGGCAGTCATTAGTGAGCCTTCGGAGAAAAGCACATTCATTACAGGTGCAGGGGGCGAGAGCGCTTTGTTTACACCCACGTCTGCCACGTCTGCCACGTCTGCGAGGAAAGAAACGAGTCATGAAATAGGCTGCTGCTTATTAGACTGAAAAAGTAAAGTATGTTGTGTTCAGGTTCTGGAATTCTGTTTCAGTCAAAGTGCAGGTGCCAATTCTATGAGAAAGAAGACATCTTTGAAAGAAATTTTGAAAAAGGAAGTCTGAGTATTTGTCATAAAGTTTGAAAACAGAACATTAAACAGAAGGGGCCTGGGCTCGTGCTTAAAATCAAATCAAATCAAATTTTATTTATGAAGCGCTTTTCATACAAAAGATGCAACACAAAGTGCTTTACAGTTTGGTTAAAAACAATCCCGCCGACCCAAGACCCCTCCCCCAGACCACCCAACAGACCCATCCCAAACCACAGACAAACACACACACGCTCCCATGCACACTCTCTGACACACACACACACACACACACACACACACACACACACAAGTAAAACAGTAAAACAATGATGAGAGACTTGGCAGGGTTCGGATGCAACCAGTTGAAAAAGCGTCATCCAAGGAGCCGTCTGCACCAGGAGCAGAGAGCCGCCTGTAGCCACAGGGGACGACACAGGATCTAGAGGAGACCCGAAACCGAGGCCCCAGGCCCCCACCAGGCCCAAGAGTCCGACCCCCACAGCCACACCGACCACCGCTCCCAGTGCAGAGGGCTCCTCCAGAGGAAACACTGGGTACACTAAAAACAATACAATAACAATACAATATGTAAAACACAAAAATGTGAAACTAAAATGAAACTAAAATGAACTAACACACAATACATGAATAAAAGCAATAGCAATACAATAAGTAATAGAAGATAAATAGAATATATAAAATGAAATAGTAAAAACTAATCAAAAGCTAATCTAAAAAGGTGTGTCTTGAGCCTGCTTTTAAAAATATGAACGTTCTCTGCGGCCCTGAGCTCCTCCGGCAGACTGTTCCAGAGACGGGGGCCGTAGTGCTGGAAAGATGCCTCTCCGTGAGTGTGTGTCCTGACTTTGGGGATGGTTAGAAGTCTGCTGCCGGAGGAGCGCAGGGGCCGGGGAGGCTCATAGAATAAAAGCAAATCTGAAAGATAAGAAGGCCCAAGACCATTAAGACATTTAAAAACCATTAAAAGAACCTTAAAATCGATCCTGAAACACACGGGGAGCCAGTGCAGCGATTTCAAAACCGGTGTAATGTGGTCCCGCCCCCTGGTCTTAGTCAGGACACGTGCGGCCGAGTTTTGGAGTAATTGTAAACCTGAAATGTTCTTTTTGGGAAGACCAGAGAGCAGGGCATTACAATAGTCAATGCGACTGGTGATAAAAGCATGCATCAGCGTCTCCGTATTGCCCCGAGAGAGAATGGGGCGGACTCTGGCGATGTTCTTTAGATGATAAAAACCTATTTTTGTGATGTTCTTGATGTGAGGAATAAAAGTCAGCTCAGAGTCAAAGATTACGCCCAGGTTTCTCACTTGTGATGATGGATTAAAAGAGTGTGATTGGAGTTTTGATAAAAGTTTCTCTCTCTGGGCCTCAGGACCGATGACTAAAACCTCAGTTTTGTCCTGGTTGAGCTGGAGAAAGTTTTCTGCCATCCAGGATTTCAGGTCTAAAATGCAGTTAAAAAGAGCATCCATTGGCCTGGTGTCATCAGGAGACATGGAGATGTACAGCTGTGTATCATCTGCATAGCTGTGGAAGTTAATTCCATGTCTCCTGACGACACCGCCAAGAGGGAGCATGTACAGGTTAAAAAGGACTGGACCTAAAATGGAACCCTGGGGCACACCACATGTGATTTTATGGACCTGAGAGGAGCAGGTATCCAAACTTACCATGAAGGATCTGTCTGTTAAATAAGAAGTGAACCATTTGTGGACAGCACCAGAGAGGCCGAGGTGTTTCAGGCGGGATAAAAGAATGGTGTGGTCTACTGTGTCGAAGGCAGCGCTAAGATCCAGTAGAACCAACACGGTCACCTTTTTGAAATCATAACTTAGTCTAAAATCATTTAAAATCTTTAAAAGAGCAGTCTCTGTGCTGTGGTTCACCCTAAAACCTGATTGAAATTTCTCTAAAATTTGTTGCTGATCTAAGAAGGCATTGAGCTGGGTAAAAACAAGTTTTTCTAAAATTTTGCTTAAAAATGGCAGGTTGGATACCGGTCTGTAGTTGTTAAAATCATTAAAATCTAAATTGCTCTTCTTCAGAAGGGGTCTAACCACAGCCGCTTTGAAGGCTGCAGGAAAGACCCCGGTCTGCAGAGAGCAATTCACCAGGTTCAAAAGCTCCTCTCTAAAAGATTCATAAAATGACTTAAAAAATGGAGTGGGGACTGGATCTAAAAGACATGTGGTGGGCCTCACTGTGGAGAAAACTTTATCAAGCATCTCAGCATCAACCAGGACAAAACTGTCCAGTGTTTCCTCTGGTGAAGACAAACAATCAGATGTGTTAAAAACAGTTGTGCGGTTGGATAAAATGTTACATCTGATTGTATTCCCCGTGAAGTGGACTGCAAAATCCTCACAGAGGGAGTCTGTGGGGGTTAAAAGAGACATGCTAAAATCAGGGTTTAAAATGGTGTCGATGGTTGAAAATAGGACCTTTGGGTTATTTTTATTTTGGGTGATTAGCTTTGCAAAGTATTTGTTCTTATGATTTCTAATTGTGTTATTGTATGCTTTTTGATTGCTTTTATATAGTTCGTAGTTGATTGTTATTTTATCTTTCCTCCACCTTCGTTCTGCCACCCTGCACTCTCGTTTCATTTTTCGTACTTCCTCATTTCTCCATGGGGGTACAGATTTTGTTTTTATGATTTTTGTTTTTAAAGGAGCGACTTGATCCAATGCGGAACTAAGTCTACTGTTAAAATCATTTGCTATAAAATCACAGGGGACAGGTAAAACCAAGTGGGGAGTGTTGTTTAGGATGTCGATAAAATTTGCAGCCACTTCAGGGGTTAGATGTCGCTTCCTCACGGTTCTCACAGAGGTCTCACGCTGAATAAAACCAGTGATGTTAAAATACACACAGTAGTGGTCCGAGACAGCCAAGTCGACAACAGAGGACACATCCGCAATCAGGCCATAGGTAATGACCAGGTCGAGGGTGCGTCCCCTGTTGTGTGTTGGCTGTCTGACGTGTTGGGTAAAATCCATGTAATTAAGAACATCTAAGAAATCTAGGGTAAAATTGTCAGAGGGATTGTCAATGTGTATGTTAAAATTACCGGTTAAAATTATCATGTTGTAAGAATTGTGTAACTGTGATAAAAACGTTGAGAATTCATGAATAAAAAGGCTGCACTTTTTAGGTGGCCTATAAATAATTACTGTTAAAATTTTGGGGTTGCTAAAAACAAGAGAGTGATACTCAAAACTTGAGTATTGGTTAAAAACAATAGGTTTGGTGGCCAGGGCGTTACTGCATATTGAGGCTGTGCCAGAGGTTCATGATTTCAGGAGCTAAAAACAATACAGATGTTTTTTTCATGATGTGTTGACCCAGGACAACAATGGGAATGCAGGGATGACATTTCAACCCGTGTCAGCTTCTCACATATTTCATGTTTCAAAAGAGAAGTGTCGAAACAAACTTTCAAAATACGTAGCCAAGGATCCCATGTAATCGATTTGAATGCATTACGTAGGATTAATATCCACCTGGAGCAAAATAAACATTATCATAATTTTAACAAATAAAATGTATCATTCAGAACGATCAATTTCCCTTCTAACAAGGGAATCTTTATCAAGGAAATATAAATATCATTATAAACCCAAACCTGCACCACCCAGAGGCTACTCCACCTCTGCTGCTGTGCCCTGAAGGGGTGTTGCTTTTGTTAACTTTTTAGAATGATCAATTTTATTTGTTATTTTTTCTGCTACTTGACACCATGGATCTATTATATTAACTGGATAGGGTATTACTAGCTTGTAGCTGAATAACTCATGTGCTCGGGGGATTCTCGCGGTACTACAGACTAGACCAGACTAAATTCACGTGGGCTACCCAGAAATTTTCCCCATAGAACTCAATGTAAATTAAAACAGCTCGACCTCAGCTGACAGAGAACCTGACAGAGAACCTACAGCTTTCATAAAGGTCGGATTTTGTGGGGATTTTAGTGTCCCTTGTCATCCTGAACTTTTTTTCTTCTTAAATCCTTCGGTTTTGTTTAAATCCACACTTTACTGCCACAAACTCTGCCCGTCTGGCTCTCGCTCTAACTCCCGCTCTGATTTGTCAGAGCGTGGCCGAGCCCCTCTGTGCACGTGCGTGAGACCCACACACGCGTGTTTGGCGCAACGTATCATTGGAGTTCATCCACTGCGCAGAACCCGGAGGACCAGACGATGCCCAAATACAGGCGAGTTTCCCATGGATCTTTGCAAGTTGCTGGCGACTTCCGCTAATCTTTTTGGCACCCATGCCGGCACAAAGCGCCACTGAGCACAACCATTAATTTGAATACGGCGCCATCTTGGATCGCCGGGGCTTCCTTGACACCTGCATTTCTTCTACAGGGATCAATAAAGTATCTATTTCAAAAGCCCAACGATAAGAACTTCTTTCTTGTTACACGGCTTTTTACGATGTCAGTATGCAAAAGTAGTTTTATAACCGTCTTCACCCGACCCCTAACATCCTACGCTTGACCCTACGTTGCTCAAACTGGGTGCTCTCTCTCTCCACAGGCTTTGGGAACATCGCCCCCAGCACTGTGGGAGGCAAGATCTTCTGCATCCTCTACGCCATCTTTGGCATCCCCCTGTTCGGATGTCTGCTGGCGGGCATCGGGGACCAGCTGGGCACCATCTTTGTCAAGAGCATCCTCAGAGTGGAGAAGATCTTCAAGGTACTACTACTCCACTAATCCCTCACAAACGAACCAGACTAAACGGAACAGAGAATGGTCCCCTGTTCAAATACAGACTCAAAACTCACCTTTTCAGACTTTATTTTCAACATGACCAGTCCCCCACAACACCTCTGCCCAGTTCTGTAGTTTTGTTTTTAATAATGCTAATGTTTTTAATGGTTTTTAACCATGTTTGTACAATGTCCTTGGGTGTTTTGAATGGCGCTTTTAAATGAAATGTATTATTATCATTATTATAAGTAAACACTTGTACAGACCTGAAGCCAGATAATTCACTCTATGTTCTGTCCGTTGACTCATTCGTCACAACAATCTCTTTGTTTTTCCGTGTTTATGTTAATTTGATGTCGTCTTGACCCATTTCAGCAGAAGCACCGTAAGATCAGCCAGACAAAGATCTGTGTGACGGCCACCATGCTGTTCATCCTGGCGGGCTGCCTGGTGTTCGTGACTTTGCCCGCGCTCATCTTCAAACACATTGAGGGCTGGAGCACGCTGGAGGCCATCTACTTCGTGGTCATCACTCTGTCCACCGTGGGCATCGGAGACTACGTGGCAGGTACGTCCCAGGAGACCACGCAACTTTAAAAGAGACGATAGGCTTTTGACGTTGCATAATAATAAACACAGACCCCAGTGTTTGTTGCAACTTGTTCCTCATCCAAAACAGAGCGGGAGTAGTTTTTAGTTTGTTCAAATCTCTTGAAACATCCCCCTGTCCCTTCTGTCTAAATGCTCTGTTTTCAAACACTCCAAATGACAAAAACTGTTATGTAGTGGACAGAGATGTTTTCTTCCTGTGTTGTCTCCACATTGAGGGATGTCTCCGGTCAAATAACTTTCTTTATAATCTATCTAATCTATCTTCAAAAGTAATATCCCTCTTGACATATTTTTTTGCATAAATTTAAAGGATTTTTAAGAGAAAACAAAATGTTCCCACACATGGAATACATTAGATGAATATTTGGTATTCATTTTGGAAATTAATTCTCATTTTTGTTTCTGGTTGCTCTAGTTGTTTTGCATAATGTTAAACTGGGTCACATGTAACTGATAGTTCTGAGAGATTTTGTCACCGCCTTTTTAATCAACCAAATGATCGACCAGGGATGTCCTTCGTCAAACATGCATTTTTCTGGTCAATTACCACCCTAATATATATGCGTATATTTTTTACTTTGTATAATATCGTTATGGGGTGTGTGTGTGTGTGTGCAAGCGTGAGAGTGTGTCGATTGGTGTGTGCAGGGTTATGAAGGTGTAAGATGAAAGTTATGGAAGGGTACATGGAGAATGGTACTGGAGAATGTATTTTTTCTTTGTATGATGTGTCAATACTTTTGGGAAGTCCCTCTGAGATTGCTGGGGGTAGTATTGTGCATGTTTTTAGTGGGAGGGGAAACTTGAGCACCTGGAGGAAACTTACACTGACATGAGGTGAAAGTGATCTCAGCATCGTCTTGCTCTCTAAGCAAACTTTCTACGGGGTCATAGGAAAATATTGTAAGTGGTACTTAGAGGAGCAGTATGTAAAAATCTGGCCAAAGGTGGTACTGCATCCTCTCCCACTCTCCCTGACGCAGGTTGCCAGATATGCAGAAGAATCCAGCTGGAACTATAATAACTGAATTTACAGAGTTTTGTCAAAAGACCTTTTTCACAAAGGCCCGACAGAAATCCTCGTTTTATTCCAAATATTGTCATTAATGATATAAAAATCATAACGAGACCTTTTTTAGTTCTGTGGCCACATGTTACTTTACCAGTAACATCTGGCAAAGTAATCTGGGTTCTTTGCAACCAGATCACGTACTTTCTGATTGGTAAAACGATGGAGGGCGGGACATTGAAATTAAAATAACAACAAGATGTATGGGCTGTAAAACTTGAAATAAAAATATCTCGTCTGAACAACTGTAATCCGTTAAAGAAGTATTCGAAAAGAGCACGGTTTATTAATGCCTTAGGGCCATTTCATGATCACTCGACGCAAAACTCTTACATATTGCTACTTTAAATATTGTATGTATTGTACTGCAGTGGTTGGTGTTAATAGTTAAAAAAACCGGGCTCTGAGACGTGTTGTTGTTGTAGAGTTTTGCTGCACGTCTTACACATTCATCTCTTTGTCAGAGCGCCCAGAGGGATCAACAACTCTCTGCTCATCACTAACAGTCCGACCTGAGGCTACAACACAAACTGTGGATGTGTCTCAGAGGCAAACACACTATTGTAAATCCTTCGCTATAAACTTTGAAACCAGGGTCGGTCAATATTTAGCACCGCCACTGACACCACAAATATACTGGCAATTAAAACTACCCCAGCTTTAATAACTTAACTTTTTCATAAATTGTATATATTGTCTTCCAACAGAAAGAGTATGATACAAGTTTAATTTAGTAAAACAATCAGATCACTTCATTTTGTTAGTAAAGTATGTTTTCTTTTGCAGACTTGTGAGAAAGAACCCTGTGAGTCTCTATTTTGCGTCACGGATATGAAAAACTGTTTGAGAGTGAGGAGCTTAAAAGTTAAGATTTAGGTAGTTTGATTAAAAGATTTCTCTCAATGTATTTGCATTTCAGACTAGCAGTGATCTTCATGCAACTTTAATGCTTTGTGTGTATTCTAAAGCTTAATAATTATAGTAATATTTCCTTATTTTGGTGCCTTTTTCATATGTAACTTTTTTTGATCATGCGTCCATAGCTTCATTTTCTTCCGATTAATCCATTGTAACTAAATGGCTTCAAAAAAAATGAATTGTTACATAAGTAAATCATGAAACAAAAAAGCAATTTGGAATGAGCAAAGTAGCCAAAACTTAGACCAAAAGTCGTAGCATTGCAATTGTAACTGGACTGATACCAGAACATTCACTCTTAACTCTTGTTCTACATCACGAGGAAAGAATAAAACCTAAAATAACTCACACATCATTTTCAAATCCCATCTAACCTAAACCTAAACCTACCGTTTTAAACCTACCGTTTTAAATTGGGTTCATCTCTGTAATACTTTATATGTGTTCTTTTCTGTATTTCTAATATTGTGTGTGATGTTTTTAACCCATTGTAAAGCGTCCTTGGGTGTCTTGAAAGGCACCATGATATAAAATGAATGATTATGAATGATTATTATTTTCAGTCTCACTGTATGTCTAAACTTCCTGTTCATGGTGTGCGCTGCAGGGGGGGACCAGAGTATCGAGTACCGCGACTGGTACAAGCCGCTGGTGTGGTTCTGGATCATGGTGGGACTGGCTTACTTCGCCGCAGTGCTCAGTATGATCGGAGACTGGCTGCGCGTGCTGTCCAAGAAGACCAAAGAGGAGGTGGGTGTGGCCTCAACACACGTGACCCCATGATTTCATTGGGCCAGGAGCAGGGGCTAAATATAAGGTCAGTCGGCTCCGGCCCGCCCACGCCGGCTCTGGCACCGTTCCACTGTGATGGCTCAAGCTGAGGACAAACAGGGAACCTTTAATTATGAGAGAGTAGAGTATTTCAATAACAAAACTTTGTGCAGAAAACTACTACATGCAGCCTAAAAGAAAGCCTGAAGTCACTTAGCTGAGATCTGATTGGTTGAGAAAGGTGGGATTGTGTTGATTTTTCATTGTGAAAAAAAGAACTGGCCTGAACTAAATTTTACATCAAACTCAGAATCAGGAGAAGTTTTAAAAGCATAAATTAATTATCGTTAAAAAATATATTTCAAAAAGCTGATAATTTTATATGTATTCTGTCAGGATCTTATTGCTTTTGTCTTTTAGAGGCAGCCCCCAGCTATAAATTTTGCTGTCAAGTTGAATTACAAAAGTAATGCGATTTTCTTTGTAATGTCTAATTTTCTAAGTTTCATCTGTATAGTACTGTAGGTGAGTCCGAACTTGACTTAAACAGAGACGCTTTCAGTTTTAGACATGCTGGTACTCAAAAACCAAATATTTTTATTTAGTGATATTTGAGTCTCCACCTCAAATATAAAATAACCACCTGCTCAGAGAGTTCAGGTGTAAATTAGCATCTTCTACTATAACTTAGAACAATGCGTCTCTCCTTTTGGCTACTATGGAGACATTTGTATGGTAAAAAAGTATACAATCTCTACCCTTGGCATAATGAAGAAGCAAGTATAAAATACTGTATATCCTAGTGCAAGAAATATATAGTTGTATGTACAGTATCTGTACATGTTAGCAGCCTGAGGGTCTGGACAAAGTGACAAAGTAAGTGACAGTTACACATGTGGTTTCATATTGTAAGGCGACCTTGAGTATCTAGAAAGGCGCCTAAGAAATAAAATGAATTATTTGTATTATTTACTCTACGGTGTCCCTGCAAAAATATATAAAACATACCATAAAAACCTACCATACCACCAGAAAGAGACACCCTTCAAACTCTCACCTCTGTCCTCAGGTGGGCGAGTTCAAAGCCCATGCGGCTGAGTGGAAGGCTAACGTTCGGGCTGAGCTCCGTGAGACGCGGCGGCGCCTCAGCGTCGAGATCCACGACAAGCTACAGCGCGCCGCCACCATCCGCAGCATGGAGCGGCGGCAGCTGGGCCTGGAGCAGCGTGCGCACTCCCTGGACATGCTGTCACCGGAGAAACGCGCCATGTTCGCCAGTCTGGACACCAACCGCTTCAAGACGGCGTCACAGGAAAGCATCGACGTCAAGCTCAACAACCTGCGCATGAAGGGAGCCTACGAGGGCCAGAGGGGCGCAGGGCAGGCGCAAGAGGCCGCTGTGTCGGGGGTACGTTTATGGTGGGAATGTCTGTGCCGTGGAAATGGAACGTCTTGTCTAGGGCTGTTACAATGTAAACAATTACTGTAATCGCAGAATCATAGGATCGACCTTTTTGAAAATCAATGTAAGAAATGTCAAAACAGTGAAATGGAGCTCAGGATAATGTTTAAAGATTAAGATTAAATAAGAATAAGATTAAGATTAAATAAGAATAAGAGATCCTTTATTCGTCCCACATAGCGGACGTTTCAGAGTTGTATCAGCGATTACAGAACAGTAGGAATGAGGAGCAAAAAGCACAAGATAAATGTACAATAACTCCATACTAAAATTAAATAAAATCTTTAGCTTTAGCGTAATAAGCAAACAAGTCTAAACTCTCCAACTTTAGTATAATAAAGAAGTATAAAATCCCAATATTAGCTTCCCAGAATCCACAAAGATTCCCAAAGAGGGGTCATTCCTCAGTCATAGCAAATGTATAGCACATTTCCCAAACCAAGGTCACACAAAGGGTTATGTATAATTAGGGTTAGGGGTTAGTTTAGGTGCAAATTGATAAAAGACAAAATGTGGGAACTTGTCATGGGGCCTATTTTTGAAAAGAAAAGCACACTTTGAAAAGATGGAGCATAGGGCTGAGAGACGTGATAAACCAGCCCCGCCTCCCTGTGGCCTGTGATTGCTGGTTGGAGTTGGAAAGCTCTTGATTCATTGTGTGCTCCTGGTTTTCTATTGCTTCTGTGATCGTCCATAGGGATACAACGATTGATATGTTTAGTCATCGAGCAATCTATAAACTTCGCTATATTTCCCAGACCATCAAACGCCAAAACTCCACCACACAGACCCTTGTGGATCTAGCTGAGTTATAGCCACTGCTCTCTCCACTTTGTAGCCTTCAGTGCAGAGCTGGTGTCACACGGAAAGTGCTGCTGGTATTTCCATGTGTTTGGTTTTAGGCCCAGAATAATGGTATAAATTATGTTATAATCAAAGCCTTCATTATAGAACACATGGATAAAGTGAATTATATGTTTTAACTGAAATCCAGCATGGGTACTTATTGGATTGGTTGATGACTCTTGTGGTGTCCCAGTCCATAACATGCTTAGTGCGTTAGTGATCGGATTCTGGATATTTCGAATTGTCCTCTCTGCCATTTTGTTCTGGTCAGTCACACTGTAGCCTCTTTTCCAAACTCTCACCCTAACCTGAATTTAGATGTTTTTTTCACATGATAAACATTGCCTTACATTTCAGTCTATGTTTGGTTCTGTAATTACAAGAAAAACTGTTAATACATAAAAACTGTAGAATACATACTACTAGAATTAGAATACTAATACTAATAATTTACATCGGGCGATGAGATAAACTGTAACTCAACTTCAGTAAAACTTGCAGAACTCTTCCATCCCTGCTCAAGTACTGTTCAGCACATCTGGAAACATCCTACATTTAGAACCACTTTGGAATAAGTTTTTAAAATATGTTAAAATCCCATTCAGTTCAAGAAGCCCTGACAATGTATGTGGAGGAAGGAGTAGGAGTTGTGCATGGATTTATAATAATAACTGGATAGGGTATTACTAGCTTACAGCTGTCCCACCCATGGGCACAGGGGGCGCCCGTGGTACTGCAGACTAAATTCATGCGGGCCACCCAGAATAATGTCCCATAGAACTCAATGTAAACCAAACTAGCTCGACCTCAGCTGACAGAGAACCTACAGCTTTCAGAAAGCTCGGATTTTGTGGGGATTTAATGTCCCTTTTCATCCTGAACTTTTTTTCTTCTTAAATCCTTCTGTTTTCTTTAAATCAACACTTTACTGCCACAAACTCTGCTCCTTTCCTTCCCGCTCTGACTCCACTCTCCCGCTGCTCTGATCAGCAGTGTTGCGAGAGAAAGGGTGTGTGTGTGTGTGTGCTTTGTGTTGTGTTGAATGAGTGAGGGGTTGGAGCTACAACCCCTTTTCAAATTGTTCAAACTACTTCTATTTTTATATTCTGTTTATTCTATTTGCATGAAATGTAAATTTGAAATAAAATAATCTCTACCACTAACCACTGCTCATTGTCTCATCCCTAGTCTGAGGAGAACTTGTTCAACTTGAAATTCGGCTCTCTGGGGAAGATCGCACGACGCAAGAAAGACCTACGGAGAGACATGATGGACAGCTCGAGACGGGCCAGCGAATGCATCAACCGCTCCAGCACCATGAGCGAGGACAGGCAAGAGGACGAGGAAGCCATGAAGGACAGCGGGGACGGGAAACGAGACAACACCAGCCTTACGAACATCTATGTGTCGGAGCGCAGCAAGCTCAACGGGTTCTTGCCCAAAGAGCGCGTCAGTGACTAGCAGCGGAAGGATGTGGACTGTTCTTGAACAGGGAAAATGGAGGTTGAGATTCTTCCTGAGAATAAGGACGCCGTGCCATAGAGCGAGGAGAGAGGAGCGCGTTGCCAAAAAGAATGACTCGATGGAAGTCCTGGCTACATGTGCAAGACTGGTTAGGCCCGGCCCTCATACTCACCTCTGCAGCTTTTTTCATTAACTAAAATCTGCGAGGCCCCATTGTCATTGGTTAAACTATTCTCTGATGATATTAAGAGGAGTAACTGTTTTAAATATATTATTGTTGAAAATCACACGATACATACAGTGTCCCTTGATCAGATATATAAAAAAATTTAGCAATGAATTGACAATACCTTTTATATCTGGTCTGGATTGTGGCTTTTTAACCTAATTTTTGCAATAAATACACAACACGCCAACAGTTCGGCTTTCTCAATAACCTACATTATTGTCTAAAACCAGGACTAATCCAAGGAGGTATACTGTATTTACACAGACTTAAACTAGGTCTATAAACTAATCTAATCTTAACGTCCATCTCAAAATAAACGTTGATGAAAATGACGAAAATGAGTAAATTACCCACAACCGGAGTCCCAAACTAAAGCTATTTTTGTAAATCAAAAAAGTAATAAGACTTCTAAATGATCGATACACATTTGGCAATAATGGTAATGACCAGAAGAGGTTCAGGACGTGTGCACCTTACAGCCGCTCAAAGTAAAGAAAATTGTCGCAAACCCTGATAAAAAGAGAAGACCAAAATTACAAAAGAAAAGTTAAAAACCATTTCTCAGCAGTTTCAACCCGGACCATTAAGCTATCAATATTGGGCTTTAAAGTAGTCTGAATCACAATTTCATTATTTATCATTTGGAAGGGGCGAAAGTGGCTCAGTTGGTAGAGCATTGGCCATACAGCCTGAAGGTCGTGGGTTCAAGCCCACCATAAGACCTACTTCGTGACTCCCACTGATGACTGCTGTCGTTGTGTCCTTGGGCAAGACACTTAACCCCACTTTGCCTGAAGCCCCTGCTGAATATTCAAGGCCCCTGTGGACTCACCCCCTGCAGGAAGATCAGTGAGGGGCTGGTGCTCTGTGTACTGGGTGAAGCTCTGACTGCCAACCCCCCGACCCAGAAATGGATTAAGGGGAAGAAAATGGATGGATGGATGGATGGATGGTAATGACCAGAATAATTTTAGTCAAGGCTGAACGTTTGTGCTAAATAAGGCCAAAACCCTAGAGTGATTCCTCGCATGAGTTGCCAGGACGGTCCACCGAAAGCCGAATACCTCACAAAGGATAAAAAGTGCCAGCGATGTCCTCCCATTCTCCATCTTCTACCCCCAATTAGCATATCGGATATCAGGAGAGCTCCTTCCAAGCCATCCATACAGGAGAGACTTATTGATCTGCCCTGCTCCAAAGACTCCTGGCTATTTTTAGATCCGTGGAGAACTTGTAATGCAGGCAAGTTTGGGTTACGCTCAGATCAATAGAAAAAATTGAGCACTTACCCCAAAGACTCCAAAGACACGACTGTAAACATATCTGCTGGACTTGAAAACTACGGAACGTGTCGCATGGCTGCCCGCAATTCAAGGGCAACTACTCCGAAAGGACGAAACGCAAACTCTTCCAAATATTGTATCTTGGCCATAAGATTGTTACAGTAATGCTATGTCGTTTAAAAAAAAAAACCTTCACGCGATTTCTTTGAATTGTCATTGATGAATGTCACTCCATTGTGGAACTGGCGAGCATGTTTTTGTGTAAAGGTGCATTGTGAAACTTTCTCATGATGTCGTTTGGAATGTTCACAGAATTACAAAGCGAGGGTTAAAGGGGACGTAACATGCTGTGTCGACTTTTGACAGATTTGGACCATATTACAGTGGCTTTATCTTGTCACACTCAAAGCTGTTTTTAGAAAAATTCGTGCATTTTTGACTTGTTTTATACGGACCATTGTTTTATCTCCAACCACTGTTCATAGCCCCTCCGAGTTTTTATACGTACTTTATTTGACAATTTTTTTTCATGATTCTGTGATATGTGACACTCATTCGCCTGTCTCCCTGAAAGGAAAAAAAAGGTAAAAGAATGTGTTTTAAGCAGCGTTCCTCTGTGTAAGCTGTCCTCAAAATAGCAGCTTCGTGATATAATGCTATGGAAGTTGAGACATTTGTGAATTCTGAATACGGTCTGTGCAACAGACTGTTCAGAATAAAAGTTACAGAGTGCACCTTTATAACCACTTTTTCACACTTCTGTAGAAAAGCGTTTAAAGACAAAATATGTAAAACTTTCCCATTTGCAGAATGACTATAATGTAAGTAAATAAACCAAAAGGCCATGGGACTAGAGAGAGTCCACCAATGCCTCACATCCACGTCCAACTCTGTAGATTCTACTGAAGAACTCAAACAAACATAGATGATGCTGCATTAAAGGTTTGTAGGACGATTTTATACTTCCGGGTGGATCATCAAGACTATTGGTCCTCTCAATTGTCAATCCCTCTTGTGATACATGCTCGTCCAAGAAGACCAGAGAGTTTTGTTCAAAAAGTGGAGAGGGCAGTTCTTTCCTAAATTTGGGAAAATTCTCCTATATACTGTTAACTTTAAATTCTTTAATACTTTTTAGTCCAATATTTTTATACTTTTGCTTTTTCCACCTACTTTATCCAACGGCCATATTTGACCAAACTTAATTTAACAAATTCATGTTGCAGTCTCCTAAGTCGCTCAGGACAACCCACTACAAGCATGAGATGACGATTTTCAATCTCAGCTTTCACATGCTTTGGTGCAAGTACCAACACAAACTGCCATTGTGTTCTTGGGCAAGACACTTCATCCACTTCCACAGCCCCAAGGCAGCTACGGCTACAAACGTGACCAAGGAGTGAATGACTAATACAGCAATGCAACACACTGGGGCTCCAAGCGGCGGCATGGATTGTTTTCATGCTTTTTATCTTTAGCAAATTGGGTTTGTTTAGATGAAAAAATAGTACAACAAATTAGTTAAACACATATTTCAAACTTACAAATTAATCTGATCAACATGCCCTGTCACTTCTATTTACAGTGTAACACACCACTCAATACTGTATATCTCTATCATGCTCTCGCTCCTTGCTAAATATATCCTGCACATTGTGTCTTAAAACTGTCATCTCATTACACTGTACTGTTGTGTAGATTTAGAGCCACGCTGAAGCAGCCGCACCTGTGTACCCCTCTGGACTCAAATGCATGTCTCTGAACACATCGGCATAACCTGTTCCCATCACTGTGTGCGAGTGGAGGCTGATTACATGTTCAAAATATCAAAGATATCACCTTATTGTAGGGAGTGCCTTTTTCACATAATAAACATCAACAAACCACTTTATGTGTCTGACGTTTTTCTACTCCTTTGTATTAGGACTTAATGGTGGGGTACCTTACTTTTGTGTTGAATCATTAAGTTGTTTGTATAAAGAGAGTCTTGAAAAAGTTAAACGTTATTGTATTTAGTTATGTGCATTCTTGTGAGTCAGAATGTGATGCTTTTGGGCTGAGAGCTGATTGGCTGAGTGAGTGTGGTCCTCAATATTTCTCTTTTCTGTCTGAACAAATTGAAGTCTGAAGAAGTGACAGAGGCCAAACTGTTGTGAGAGAAAGGAATTGTTTGATAGATGTTATTGCATCTAGCAAAGCTATTTCTAGTTTAAATGTACAATTCAGTTCAACATATTTTTGTATAGCCCTAAATCAAAACAGCAATCGTCTTGGAGAACTGAAAGTTTTCAACTCGCCAACAACAGATGAAGGAATCAAATAATAACAAACACAGAGGTTTGGTGGGAGCGGTTGACCAATGTCCGTACATGTTCTTAAATGTCCTGGATCATCACTGTCCTCTCCTGCCTCGACAAAGAATGTCAGTCAATCTATAAATCTAGGGCTCAGACCATAGAATGAGGAAAGTTAGGTACTTCATTTTTCAAAACTGTCTTTTTCTGCTTTTAACCTTGACCATGTTCCCTCATCAATAACAGATCTAGAGTATTTTCCAATATTTCATTTATAATCTATTTGTTACGATAAATTAGTCACTAAATTGGTTACTCTGAATATTGTCTTGCTTTTTTCAAGTTTAACCATGCACACACATTGAGGCCAGAGCCAGCGGAGCCTCTGTCAGAGCCTCTCTCTTGTTTGACCAAACTGTAAATGCCTCAGTTCCCTGTGCTGGGAATGAAGCATTTACAGCTGGAATATAACGCTGTTATAATGTTCAAACACATTTTCTTTCAAAAAGTTTGAGAGCATCATATATTTTTCTTTTTGACAATGGCTTGACAACCATGGGACGCAGTAACCCAGCCTCACGGTAGGGGACGATCATGAGCACATGTGTTTAGGCTGCATTCAGTTCAACCAAAATGCATTCAGCTCTTCCTCTGCTTAGGGCTGTTCCAGGTTTGGTTAAATTAAACATTTTTAAAGATGTTTTTTTAAAAATCATTTTTAATCATGATTCAAACACTGAAGGATGGGAGCCACAAAGGAAGGGTCCGTGGTAAAAAAATTATTTCTGCACATTAAAAGCAGGTTTCCCCTTTATGCTGTTACTGTAAACGTGGAGGGGAAGGCTTCACGTTCTACGTTTACCTTAGGTAACAGCATAAAAGGGCAACCCGCTTTTAATGTGCGAGCTGCTTTACCGCTGTGACGTGTGGCAAAGAACCCAAATGCAGACACGAGCAGAGTAACAAAAAAGTATTTACTGATGCAAAATATAAAAAGAAAATCACAAGGCACAGGGGGCAAACAGACCAGTGTCAGGATCAGGACTGGGACCGGGCATGGCAGAGCAGAGATCTGCAGCAAACGGAAAAAAGTCTGGTAAGTGAAAAAGCTTAATTCTACAGATCAACAAGATAATTAAGGGTAGAACGCACTGGAACAGGGATTACGATCTGGCACCGAGGAGCTGGCTTCAGAAGGCTTTGTACCCACTTGATTGTAGCGTGGAGGCAGCTGGGCTGAGTCTGAGGCAGCTCCAACACACCTGTCCCTGCCCAGGGAACAGGTAGGGGAGGGGGATGAGGCAGAGACTCCAGGAGAATCGGGGAGGGAGGGGTTGCCGGAGGAGCAGCCCTGACAACCGCGGCCGTTCGCTGTTCTTTTCCAAACTAATAAAAAAAAAAAGTTATCTAGACCCAGCTATCTACAACCGACCACACAACAAGAATGGACCATTTGATTTAGTAAAACCTCTCTTCAAACGTCTAAAACTAGCTATATCTCTAGCATCCAGGTGGCTTTCTTTGCCGTTTTGCCACCCAGTCACGTGACCGGCGCGGAAAAACTATGAACAATGACGTCACTCCAAGATCCTCCTATATGCCTATGTTACATGCTTATTACGTTACTCTGGTCGCCTGGTGTAAATTGAGTGTGAGTCTTGCCCTGCCTCTGCTGCAGAGAAGCAGAGGGAAAAGTGGGAATCTGACATACAACACCGGAGACAGCACACAATTAAATCAAACTTAACCAGCCATTAGACATACTGCTGGCTGCGATGTGAGAGCATGAGGTGATCCGTCAGCACAGTAATATTTATGAACATGCAGTCCAGTTCCTGACAATATCAAGCTAAATCAAACAGCCATTGAAGAGGAGTAGACCAAAGTTCCACAGGACACAATCAAGATAAGATAAAACTTTATTGATCGCACAATCGAGAAATGTAAATGTCACATTTGGCATAAATGTTCATTCCGGGTGTGCAAAAAGACAGAAAGTGTGAAAAAAGGTGAACATAGTATCTTTAGTGCAATGAAGATTTATAATGTACAATTGAAATGATAACAGTGACAACCTGATCAACTCTGTGAAGAAGGAAAATGGGTCTTACTGAAATAATTGTAGACAGATTGAACATATACAGAGATGGGTCTGTTGAGCATGAGCAGTTTATAGATTTAAATTGAAAAGGAAATGTTGTTACATACATGTACAGTATATTCCCATGCCCCCTAAAGCAGCCCTATGGAGTGCCAGACTACAACTATACAATTGTCGCAATGTCGCAGGATGTGTTCCGTGTGTGTATGTGTGAGTATGTGTGTGTCGCTCTTACATAGCGTCCCAGCTGGCACATAAAAGACAGAAATAGGACACAGACAGAAGGTAAATCAGGAGAAATGACTAAAGAATGATTCCCATTGCACAAAATAGAGAACTAGTCTGCACCCTTTCCTTGCACACTGAGCAACACTGGCTGTCTTTTTTATGACTCAAAGTGATTCGACATTGGAGTTAAGTGTTTGTTTATTCCGAGTTCATCAAACATTATTGTTAAATGTCATCACATAGAATTTTCTAACACATCATTCATAAACAATTACTTATTATAAGATTGTACATGATTCAAACTCGAAAAAGAGTGGGAGGAATAAGAAACAAATAGATTCCCACCCCTTTATAACATTTCCTCCCAAAAAGGAGAAACACTTGCTCAGCACGAGCCGGGAGACGAGGCCCGGCTGCGGACAGAGCGGAGGCTGAGGCTGGGACAGCTGTAAAGCCCCAGTGAGGGTGGCTTTGAGACTGTAGCAGTTACGTTAGTTATCCGTCGTTTATCTTGTGGAAAGTTGCTTTGAAGCTCACATTTTGCATCTGTTGTTGTGTTTATTAGAAAAGGTAGTGCTTTTTAGACAAAAGGATTCATTTTGAATATTAGTTAACGTTACATTTACATTCTTTTCTTGTATTCTTTTCTGTTCACAGATTCGTATTCATGGAAGTGCATATTAACCTCCATCCATCCATCCATCCATTTTCTACCCTTTAATCCATTTCTGGGTCAGGGGGGTGGCAGTCAGAGATGCCACCCAAGTCTCATAGCACCAGCCCCTCACTGACCCTCTGCAGGTGGTGAGTCCACAGGAGGACGGCTGCTCTCTGAGCCTTGATCTTTCAGTGGGGGCTTTGGGCAAAGTGGGGTTAAGTGTCTTGCCCAAGGACACAACGACAGCAGTCATCAGTGTGAGTCGGTGGAGAAGGTGCAGAGGTGGGAATTGAACTCACGACCTTCTGGCCTAAAGGCCAATGCTCTACCAACTGAGCTACTCTTCAAGCTAACCCCTTCAAGCTAAAGATGCATTCCTCAACGGTGGAGGACAAGCTTTTTGCAAGTTTATTATTCTGCCTGAACTGTTTTACAGTTTGTGATAAACATTCCTTTTACATGGAAACAAACATGTAACTTCACTCAGACGTGTAGAGTTCTATCTCTGGAGAGAAAAGTCTCATCAATGTACAAATGTATTTAATTAAAAGCACTAAACTCATGCATAATTGAGGAGTATACTTAAATGTTGTCACCAAATGTTGTGAGCGACGTTTTAAGCAAAGCAATAACATCGATTGCAAGAAGAAGAACCACATCACAAAAAGTTAATTACCACAGCTGAGGAAAGCACTTTTGATATTTCAAATCTTTGTCAATCATGTTTGACACCCTTGACACCCGGGATCGTATTACTACACCGTGCAAGAAAGTCCAGAATGAGCACCACGAGTGGTGCTCATTCTGGACATCCCTTACTTTATCTTATATCCACGTATTTATTAAAGATAATACAATATGCCTTATATTGTCCACTAAAAACGGTAATGAGATTTTACTGTTATTTCTTGTTATTTCTACCCTAACAAGTATGAAGGGTAAACATGCTTTCACCATGTAACTCACATTACCATCACCAGAGAGAGGAGTAAAATCATTTTCTATGTTTAATTTTTTTCTCAAATTTTAAAATAATGTAATTTGGGGAGAAATTGACAAAACTAATTTAGTGGCAAAACTTTTGTTGTAAAAGAGCCTGAAGTTGTTTTGAATGACATCAAACTATTCCAGGACTGAGACAGGAGCTTTTATACAGAAGGTGTGAAGCTAAATGTTTATGCCTCAAGTGTCTGCCTCAGCTCTGTGCCCCCCGCCATCATCGTGTGGGCACCCTGCCTCTTTGCATTTCCTGTTTACCCCCGGTTCCCGCCACGACCTCTTCAATCATTCATCACAAGTTTCATAACGGGCAATTAGCTCTACGCCCTCCAATATTAATAAAATGACATGTCCAGATGGCCCGTCACTGCCACCTGCTCCCCTGGTGCCGGGGCGGACAGTGCAGGACATATTAGCATACAGTGGGTGTCTCCGCTTCACTTCTATAACATTTCACCAGAGCAAAGGGCCCAGCTAAACAACCATTATTAGTCATTATTTGTGTTCATTTTGTTCCTGAAGAATGAAAAAAATCTTGTAATTTTGTTATTTTATCATGTGACATCCTGCTACACAACTAGACAACACAAGCAGACAGCATGATGTTGAGGTCTGAACATTTACTTTTACCGAAACAAACTGTTGAAAAGATAGCAAATGCTACTGTGGTGAGTAAACAGTGCTATCCAAACTTCTCAATGGACCAACCTTCTCAACCACATTGGAGACCTACGCTCACCGCCTCGCCACTCTCAGCGCTCCTCGTCCTCCCCCGAACATAGGCCGCGGCGCGCTGGAGCTCCTCCTTCCCCGTCCGGGTGATGAAGCAGTAGAGCAGGGGGTCGCAAAGGCAGTTCAGGCATGACACGGCTACGGAAATCTTGTGCGGGTACAGCAGCCATTGTACGCTCTCGCAGTCCCTGACCAGCGTTCGCACCAACATCAGCGCGTGCACCGGCCCCATACAGACCACCAAACACAACCAAATCGCCAGTAACAGTTTCCCCACGCGCTTCACCTCCTGCTCAGGCGTCGCCTGGTTTTTCCGCACCACTTTGAAGATTCCCCAGGCCAAGAACGACACCGCCAACACGGGGATTGCAAAGCCGAGAGTGAATCTTAGCACGTTTGCCCGCGCCATGTTGGCGGTCAGCGGCTGGAGGATGTCAAAGCATAAGATGGGGTCGCCGCGCAGGTTGTCCTCAGTGAAAATGGTGACAGCGTTGAACAGAAGCACCAAAACCCAAACGGCCGAGCTCATACCGAAAGCCGCGCTAACCTTCCGGAGAAACCTGCACCGGAACGGATGCACCACGGCGATGTAGCGGTCAAAGGCGATGCAGCAGAGGAGTGCGTCACTCGTGTAGAAATTCGTAAACAGACAGTAGATGGATAGCACGCAAGACAGATCGCCGTGAGCCCAGAAGCCGCGCCAAAGGAAGTCCAGCCACAGAATCAGGCCGGCGGTGAAGGTGAGGTCGCTGAGGGCCAGGTGGAAAAGGTACACGCCGAGCTCGTTCTTCCGGCGGATGTGTTGCCACGAGACGTACAGGGAGAAGGTGTTGAGAGGCAAAGAGGCCAGGATGATGAGCAGGTAGAAGAAGATGAAGGCTCTCATGCGGGCTGCGCTGTCCTGAATGTGGCATTTAGAGGCGTTCGGGTCACCGCTGAAGTTCTCCATTGTGGCGAGGAGCTGAAAAAAAAAAAAAAAAAGGCCTGGCAATAGATTAAAAAAGAGCACATCCTTTGTCTACATTCTCCTTCAAGCGGGTTAACCTGTGGAATTCTCTCTCCACTGGACTAAAACTACAGACTAACATGAACATCTTCAGCAGACAGCTCTAATTTGTTGTATGAAATGTATCTTCTGTAATGTAAAAGCCCCCGCTCGACTAGTGTTACAGTGCCTTGCGAAAGTATTCGGCCCCCTTGAACCATTCAACATTTTGCCATATTTCAGGCTTCAAACATAAAGATATAAAATTGTAATTTTTTGTCATGAATCAACAACAAGTGGGACACAATCGTGAAGTGGAATGAAATTTGTTGGATAATTTCAACTTTTTTAACAAATAAAAAACTGAAAAGTGGGGCGTGCAATATTATTCGGCCCCTTTACTTTCAGTGCAGCAAACTCACTCCAGAAGTTCAGTGAGGATCTTTGAATGATCCAATGTTGTCCTAAATGACTGATGATGATAAATAGAATGCACCTGTGTGTAATCAAGTCTCCGTATAAATGCACCTGCTCTTTGATAGTCTCAGGGTTCTGTTTAAAGCGCAGAGAGAACCATGAAGACAAAGGAACACACCAGGCAGGTCCGAGATACTGTTGTGGAGAAGTTTAAAGCCGGATTTGGATACAAAAAGATTTCCCAAGCGTTAAACATCTCAAGGAGCACTGTGCAAGCAATTATATTGAAATGGAAGGAGTATCAGACCACTGCAAATCTACCAAGACCCGGCCGTCCCTCCAAACTTTCATCTCAAACAAGGAGAAGACTGATCAGAGATGCAGTCTAGAGGCCCATGATCACTCTGGATGAACTGCAGATAACTACAGCTGAGGTGGGGATGGTGTGTTCAGGGTGATGAGCTGTGTTGCTTTTACGCCAAACATATCGTTTTGCATTGTGGCCAAAAAGTTCGATTTTGGTTTCATCTGACCAGAGCACCTTCTTCCACATGTTTGGTGTGTCTCCCAGGTGGCTTGTGGCAAACTTTAAGAGACTTTTTATGGATATCTTTGAGAAGTGGCCACTATTCCATAAAGGCCAGATTTGTGCAGTGCACGACTGATTGTTGTCCTATGGACAGACTCTCCCCCCTCAGCTGTAGTTATCTGCAGTTCATCCAGAGTGATCATGGGCCTCTTGGCTGCATCTCTGATCAGTCTTCTCCTTGTTTGAGATGAAAGTTTGGAGGGACGGCCGGGTCTTGGTAGATTTGCAGTGGTCTGATACTCCTTCCATTTCAATATAATTGCTTGCACAGTGCTCCTTGAGATGTTTAAAGCTTGGGAAATCTTTTTGTACCCAAATCCGGCTTTAAACTTCTCCACAACAGTATCTCGGACCTGCCTGGTGTGTTCCTTTGTCTTCATGGTTCTCTCTGCGCTTTAAACAGAACCCTGAGACTATCAAAGAGCAGGTGCATTTATACGGAGACTTGATTACACACAGGTGTATTCTATTTATCATCATCAGTCATTTAGGACAACATTGGATCATTCAAAGATCCTCACTGAACTTCTGGAGTGAGTTTGCTGCACTGAAAGTAAAGGGGCCGAATAATATTGCACGCCCCACTTTTCAGTTTTTTATTTGTTAAAAAAGTTTAAATTATCCAATAAATTTTGTTCCACTTCACGATTGTGTCCCACTTGTTTTTGATTCATGACAAAAAATAATTTTTTTTAATCTTTATGTTTGAAGCCTGAAATGTGGCGAAATGTTGAAAGGTTCAAGGGGGCCGAATACTTTCGCAAGGCACTGTAAAACTAGCACGTGCTATAACACTTAGAGCAATGCACCTGCTGGGATTTAGATAGAAACGGTACAAACTCTATGTAATTGGCATAACTATTTATTTTTGTGTATGCTTTCATTCATACAACTGTGTGGTGTAATTTCTTGATTGTTAATGTTGTTAAAGGAATATAAGGAATAGCCAAGATCTATCAAACTGGCAACCCAAAAGAGAGCCCCATTCTGCTCTCTGATTGGACAATCTGCATAAACATTGTGAACATAAATATTATGGACATCCTTCCCATTGTATTTTGAACTCAGAATTACTTTACTTTAAACTGTTGTGAACATATGAGAACTTGCCTTTTGAAGAAGAAAACCGTGTGAATCTTGATATGTTCAAAGATCAAAGGCTCTCAATGGAGACCGCCGCATGTTCATGTTAAAATGGTTTGCCTTGGTTGGTGGTTGTAATTCCCACTAACAACAGAAGATGGCAGAGGTGAACTTCTGTAGATTTCTCAGAATACATATTTTCTCCACAAATACATTCAAATTCTCCAACATTAAATGCTAAATAACCAGAAGGAGCTCAAATATTGTACAATGCATACAGTGTTATTTCTCAACTTTCATACTAGAAAACCAGCAAGGAGACCAAACTAAAACAAACCCAACGAAAACAAATGTAACTTACTTCAAATGTGGTCCTGCAAATCCTCTCGCGTTCTGCCAATCTTTGGACTGATCTTTTGACCAAATCCAGCTTTATTATCGGCACACATGGGGGCCCGCCTCGCTGTTGGCCCTGACGACGAACCATTTCCTCTGAAGCACCTCAATTGTAGAATGTCAACAGTGTCGACAGATAACGCTATCCAGGGACTTCAGTCACAGAGCATGGGTGAAAGAGAAAAAAGCGTTTATGGACTTATTATTTACACACGCAATTAGTCCATCAGCCTCAGTGTCAATATTAATTACTGCTTTAGGATCCATCATTTAAAGCAGGTTCTCCTTCTCAAGCTCTGACTTTGTTTTCTCTTTTTCTACTTACTTCCTATAATACTAAAGATAGAGACTTTATACAAACTTATTATTATGCTAAAGTTATTGATTTTATACTGAATTCTTGCTTCTTCATTGTGCCAAAGTTGGAGATTTTAGATTTAGACTTGCTTCTTTTTTATGCTAAAGTTAGACAATTCATTTTGTTTTATTTTAGTATAGAAGAAAGGATCCCTTAAATCTAAAGTTTTTTTCTCTATTTTCTTTTTTTCTACCATTTTACGACTGTTTACTCATCAAAAAAAAACCTGGAGTTGTTTTTCACTCCAACCATGCTAATATCGTAAAAACAGATACTTCCTCTTGCCCTCTCTTTCAAAACCAGGGGAGGGATTAGCTCGAGTTAACGCTTCTAAAACAGGTTCCTAAGATGCCAGACTTGGAGTGACTTGTGAAAGTTTTGAAATTTTGCACATTGTGTCACCTTACGGGTTACAACCACAATCATAAAGATTTGACTTTTAACTGAAAGAGCTCAACAAAGTAACAGACAACTGAGAAGTGAAAGCAGTAATAGTCATAATAATGATCAAAAAATCGAAAACAAAAAGTGGGGTTTGTATAAGTGAACAGCAATTCTCTGACGGCTGAATGCTCACTTTAGAATCTCAAACGGGCTGATGTTTGATGTAGAAAGTGTAGTTTTGTTCAAATGTCATTATGATTTAAAATGCAAAAAATTCTAAATGCTGAAGTAAATAATCTGAAGAAGAAGTTCTAAGGCACAGAATCAACTCTAATAATGCCTCACAGATTTGCCCGAATGGATTATGATGAACACAAATATGAAATTTGAACTAAAAACATGGAATACCCTTTACTATAATGCTTTTTGTGGTTCTTTTGAAAGACAAGTTAGACGTATTACCTTGTTAGAATGTTTCAAAAGAACCGCAAAAAGCATTTTAACTCAGGACAAAATGAACCTTTTTGAATCCCCCTTTAATATAAATATTACTCCGTACTCAGAGGTGGTGACTACTGCAGGAGCCACAGCTGCTCTGAGGAAGACTAGGCACGGCATCGACCCCTCCGACCACCAATCATTAAGGCACACACCAGACTGACACTGACTGCTTAGCCTAGGATCCGGCTTTCACATGCAGATAGTGTTTTAAACCTGTACACTGTTGTAGACACCTCTTGATCATGTGAGGTTTGCCACATGACCTCATTTCACTGCCCGAGGGGATTCTTCCCCTATTTTTATGATTGCTTTGTATTTGTTCTTTAAATGGCAAACAGATAAAAACAAGATTGGAGCTGAAACTCTCAGATCACTAAGTCATGATGTGAGGAAAGTCCCATATTGTATGAAATGAAAAAAATATGCGGTGGAGCCTCATCTCTCAGCCCCTGTGCAGCTGCTGACAGCCCACACCTTTGGCATTTCCATCTTCTATCTTTTTTTTTGATCAGTTCCTCTGATGTGTTTGAGATCTGTGAGTCCTCCCTCATCACCAGGGCATCTCTGTCACCTTGTCAAGGCTAAAGTCATGATTGTCCTGACAATGAACCTACAATAGAGTAAGCACACACTGCCCTCGTGTGGCGATCAGGGGTAATTACAGGAACATTACGCCCATGTGTTTCAGAGTGATGAGGACTGTTGCCATTGACGACCATGTGCAGCATGATCCTTTTCACTGTTGTTTCCATCATGTCTGTAACATCACTCTTAAACACATGATCGACACACGTGATGCAAAGTGGAACTTCAGACAGTGTGTAATTGTAAAGCACAGAAAACTACATTGAGCATTTACAGGTTTTACTCTGAACATTTTGTCTCTTTTTTCTTTTCGTGTCAAGTGTCATTTGACGCAAGTGACATTTGACTATTAAAAATTATGAATGATACCTAAATTAGTCCTATGTCAATCCCTGTGGATTGCTAAATGTCAAAACTGAAAAACAGACTGGAAAAGTGGTGAAACAGCATCACAAGATGACGTTGCAAAGGTCTATTAAAGAGCGACTAAACACCTGTGCCCAGCCTTACTCCGCCCACATGAAGATTTGAAAATGTTCTCTAAAAAGGGCGTTGCCTGGAGGACCAAGGGACAAGAAGGGGGGCTTAGAGTTGGGCGTGGTCTGGGCTGTGATTGACAGCTCACTTGTCACGCACAAAAAAAACAGACAGTTGTCATTGCTGCTTAAAGCAATAGTTTACAGACCAGAAAGTCTCATTCCACCCTTGTTTACACACTAAGATAATTGTAAAGCTACACACCTGAACCTAATCACACTCAATAATCTCAGAATCACTCATGTAATTTAATTTTAATCCACTAGATGGCGCCAGAATACTCCAAACTGCAGCTGGGGCGTGTGTGAGAGTTGAATGGGTTTATATCACTGGCTCTGACAGACTGACGTCACACAAAACAACTGATGTCATAGAGAACTTCAGAGTCAATGGAGAGGCCAGGACCAAATTCAAATGTAGTACCACCAAAAAGGTTGAGAGGGCGCCACACAGCGTTTTTTGGCTCAAAAGTGATATTTTATCTAATTTGAACTAAAATGTCAAAAAAATGACCAGGATATGTAGACAGCACTACAATAAACATACTTATGCAGTTTATGAGTTAAAAAAAAGTTGATTTCGTGTTTAGTCGCTCTTTAAATAGACCTTTGCAACGTCATCTTCAAAGCATCATTTGATCTTTGGCCAAAAGAGTTGCACTAGTCTTTGGCCCTGAACCGCACAGAGAGCCGTAACAATTTAAAGTACCGTATTTGTGAGAGCCAAATGATGTGATATGAAGAAATTACCCCAAATAACCCATTTGTATTATCAAACCTTGTTTGTCATCTGTGTAGCTTTGTTGTGAAAAGTGTATTCAAGCCAAATGTGGTCATGATAAAACAATCATGGTTTTGTGAATTTTGACTGAAAGCCGTATTGTACATGCCTTGAGCAAGAAATGTGCGTTCCTGAAATCCATGTGCATTATGAAATAAAATTGATGTTGTGGTCAGGTGCTATTTCCTGCATGATAACAGCTGGTCTTTTATATCATTAGCTGGACCACTAACTGCCGCAACACAATAAACCCAGAAACAATCTCAGTGCATTTATGGTCTGAGTTTCCTCCATTATGGATCAATCTGTGTGATTCAGTTACAGTCTTTAACAATTTCACAAAGCCTAATTGAAACAAAGCATTTGTAAATAAAAGTTGAGGAGCTTCTCATTTGTGCACTCAAAGTTGTTTTCTGAGGGATTGATGCATTAATCGTAAATACACAACTCTGATTGTCCCTATTGCTCGGACAGTGAAAGAAAGAAAGCACAATATGTCTTCACATCAATGGCCTGTGCTCTTTGGCGCCTGCTCGCACCATGGAGAAATAATAACGGAAGTGATGCATTTTTGGCCCTTTGGTGTTGTGCAGTATGTGCGCAGTGGGTCTTCTGCAGGACCAGAGACCAGTCAGAGCTGACCGTGGGACGGCACAGACACTGACTGTTCTTTTCTGTCTTTGCAGGGCCCAAACTCTGGAATGCTCTCCCTCATTGTGTTAGAGCCATCTCTAGAGAGCTTTAAATCGCAGCTGAAGACATATTTCTTTGCTCTGGCTTTTTATCTCAAGCAAAAATGAAACTTTTATGATAGTGGATAGCGAGCAGAGTTTGTGGCACTAAAGTGTGGATTTAAAGAAAACCGAAGGATTTAAGAAGAAAAAATGTTCAGGATGACAAGGGACACTAAAATCCCCACAAAATCAGACCTTTATGAAAGCTGTAGGTTCTCTGACAGGTGAGGTCGAGCTGTTTTAGTTTACATTGAGTTCTTTAGGATTTTTTCTGCGTAGCCCCCATGTGGGAGAACTATAAACTAGTAAATCCCTATTCAGTTATTATTATTGATCCATGGGTTAGACCGAGCTGAGTTTATTGTACAAAAGTGTGGATTTATGTGGGAAGTGTAGGAAACGAATCAAATCCAAATGGCCATCCTCAGCACTTACAAAAATATTGTATATTTAGATATTTTGAGAAAAATGAAGAAAGTAATAAAGGTGAAAAGATGACACTTATTTGGCTGAGTCTACGTTTAATATGAAGATCGCTATCGATTGGTCTTTAAAAGCCTGATCGTACACTTGGACGATTCATCATAACTATTTTGACATGGCATATATCTAGGTTTGTGCTAAACCCACAGCCAGAGTCCAGTGTCCCGTGACAGTCAGTGTGTAAACTCAACAACAAGTGTATAATCCAAATGTTGCATTCAACAGTCAACACACTTCTGCTGCGAGCGACGCTCCACCTCCATCCACTGAATAAGTTTATGGATGCAAGCAGAAACAAGGCTCCATGGGTTTGTCCCAAAGGCGCTCAAAGTCTGAACGCTAAACAAAACTATTTGTCCTCTGCGTACGTGATGGCTGTCTCTGAAGGTTGAAATAACGCAAGCCCATTTTAATAACAAACCATAAAAACCACTAAAGCCTTAGTTGTTCCTTTTCCAAAGTCGAGCTGTATAAGGAGAACATTTTTGTTTCGATCCTCAGCTGCTTGGAATCAGCTGTCTGCGGCATCAAGAGAAACTAATATATATATATTTTATTTTTAAAAATAAAACAACAATACTAGAATGAAGGTCTAAGGATGATGTGGAGTGTTTATTCAGTCTTTTGTTATTTTGTATTGTAAATGCTTTTTATACTGTATGTTTAAAATGTTTCAATGTGAATTCACCCTTTGTGGAGTGGACCCAAGAAAGATTAGCGTCTACTTGTGGAAGCTAATGGGGATCGTAATACGTCAAAATACCAGGGACGTTCACAGTTCGTTGTTTAGGCATCATATAAAATACACTTATTCAGCCTCTGCTTTCTCTATTCCATTTTTATTTTGAATTACATTTTTACACGGTCACCCAAGCTTTACATTGTTCCGGGTTCAGATATTGTTCCAATCATTCCACACACGGTGATGACGGAAGCGAGTCGCCGAACACACTTGGAGGCATCAAAGCCTCCAATCAACACCATCCATTCACTCTCTCGTTTACATTCATACCTATTGTACATAGGGGCGTAGCGGTAGGGGAAACCGGAGCACCAGGAGGAAACCTACGCAGACACGGGGAGAACATGCAAACTCCATTCAGAAAGGCCCTGTTCCGACCAGGAATCGAACCCAGGACCTTCTTGCTGAGAAGCGAGAGTGCTATCCCTCACTGATCCTGCAGGTGGAGCTCATACAATGCGACTCATATACTTTTTTCTTTCTCCGGAGCGACTTCTAATCCAAAAAATACACTACACACTACTTCTCTTTGTGCAGCAGTTCCTTTTCACTGTCATTTCCACAGTGGAAATTCAAGCCATGTTTAATTATATAGCACAGAAAACGAGAGAAGGCAGGTATTGGGCATAAGAGACACTTTATTCATACATACATGTTAAATATATTTGTACATGCAAACATAAAGGAACACACAACACACTTATGTGACGTTCTCAGCGAGTGTCTGTCAAATAACAAACAATTTTACACAAACACAGACAAATCTCAGTGACTTTTACAGCACAACCTGCTTTAAAGTGACGTATAATACTGCAGTAATGATCAACAGATACAGGAGCTTATTTAATGTTGTCCACAGAAAATGTAAATATATGTACACAAATATACACACAATAATCTGTGTGAGTTTTGAACCATGTTTTTAGTTCCATCCACACTTATACCAGGAATTACGCTTCCCCTCACCTCATCTGGCAAAATTCTTCTTTTTCAAACTTTGTACGCTAAGATGAATGCTCAAGACTAGGGGTGGTTGAGAATACCTCCCTCCTTATCTTATCTCTAGATATGATTTAAACACTTGGGTCAATAAAAAGGAGAAGATTGTGTTTTATGAATTTGGATGCAGCCTTTGACGAGGACAAAGTAGTTTTCGGCTGTTTTAAGGCAGAAGTTTGGCTTTTCTGAAATTCTGGGTTATTTCTCCAATCATATTATGTACAAATGTGTGCTGCCTTCAAGGAGGCTACGCAAAGAGAAATTTATATGTGAATCTAACAGAAGGGATAATTATATAATAATACAAATAATATTCTCATGAGTGTGTTCAGAGGACAACAAATGAACACAGATAATGTATCAAAGTCGCACAAATGGAATATTCTACATTACAAAACCCAATCAAATGCATAACGACCATTAGGATAGGGGAAGTGCAGATGAAAACAGCTCCAGCATGTCTTCTGGTCTTTTAAACTGTTTGCTGGGCTGCACTGTTCCCTCCTCACCACAATAAACTCAGAAACAATCCCAGTGCATTAACAACCTGGGTGGGGCTCCTCCAATATGGATTTTCAAATGGATCTTGAAGTACCCAATACACAAAGTCTAATTGAGGGAAAACATTTTGTCCTGATAAATCTCATTGGGAGACAAGACAAGAGGTTGAAACAATTACATTTGGACAGAAGTTTCTGATATAAACAGGAATAGAGCTTAAACTGAATTCAAGTGAACATAATGTGTGGTTTTTAAATTATTCTTTTATATAATGAACCAAAACGCATCTGTGGGTAAAGCTGGGGGTACTGAACTTTCTCCATGAATCTTACCCAACAGAAAAAAAGTTAAAGTAATGTTGTAATGCTGAGTGAGGGTGGGCCTTTTTCACTTTTTTGTCTGTAACAGCTGATCTAAAGACGTAACAGAGGTGAGAGAACCAAACTGTTTTGAAAGCCAGGAAGCAGTTTTATGGATTTCATCACATGTTTCCATGATTTTGTGGTTTCAAAGTTAGTTAACCGAGATTTAAGGAACTGTAATTGTCATCATAGATAATCTAAAAGTTCAACACACTATCAGAAATCAATCAAATGCAAGGGTTATGTAAGTCTGGGTACATACACCACTGAAGAGAATTCTAATCTAAACAGGATATCTTGGCGTCTTGCCCTTCATTCATATACGGATTGGAAAAACAGCCCAAGTGCCAGTCCAACGAGCGCTCATATCAACACATTGTATTCCTGCAATAACACACTGCCAGTTTTTACGTGGTGAACGTGTGAATGTGTATGAACATCTAGTCCCATTAGGTTCAGCTGACTTGCCATCTTATTATTAGTTTTCCATCTCATTCTCACACTCGGACTCGTTTCTTTGGAGCTCTGTAGACAGAAGTGTCCAGAGAGCTCCAGGAAGAATTGTTTAGTAGGTTTTCTGATGCAGCAGAGAAAGCCTTCCTAACAGTTGATCCTGGAGCATCCGAGACACCACTCTGATGGAAATAAAGGTGCAGCGACAAGGTCAAATACACAAACATATACACTTTTTCACAATGGCATAATGCCCCTTTAAAGCCAGGATACATAATATATTTTGTTTGTTTTATACAGGGAAAACAATGTGAGCAAGAGACCATAGCCATCATGCCATCTTCAGACCATAGAAAACATGTTATTGTTTACATACTTGAGTCACTATTGGACACTTTGGGCTGAGAGCTGATTGGCTGATCCCAGTGTCTGATTTGACTGATTCGATCTGAGCTGCATCTATTGAGTTTTTAGGTTATTCACGCACACATTTAAATTATGAATGTCTCAGACGGATGCTTGCAGATGCTTTAGGAGGAGTTAACTGGACCGATTCTGGATCATTTGGAGCAAAATGTCTGTATTTGTGGATGTAAAACCATCAAAGAAGTGTCCACTATTCACTTTAGAAACTTTCCTCCTCCAGCGAACCATACTTCGTCCAGTTAAATTGAACCAGAACAGGTCTTTTTAATTGGTCCACTTCAGTTGAAACATCATTATGACATTGGCAGCAACGAACAGGACCAAGAGGAGAAACGACACACTGACCCTGCCTCAGACTCCTCATGAGTCTGAGGAGGTGCAAGTTGTTATCTAAACTAAAACTTAAAGCTTGGGTACGTAGCTTTCAAACCACAACAATGGAACTCTGTCTGTGGTTCAAAAGCAATTTTCTTTTTATCCCTAGTTTTCACTTCTTCACATCATGGATAGAAAGGTCCAAACGAGAGGAACACTCTCATTCAGCTAACCAGATCTCAGCTCATTGCATCAAATTGTGACACAGAACTCTTTCTTACAAGTTTGCAAAAGCTAACTTTTCTGATGGCAAAACCAAATATCTGCATCAGCATTTGCAAAATGTTTGTCTGATTTAGTTCCGGTTCAGTTCGGTTCACGTTCAGGCCAATGACCCAACTAGCACATGTTCCAAACTGTTTTCCACTTCCCAATCTCATTGAAGAGCCTTAGTATTGACTTTGACTCTCTGTGTGGACAAATGGCTTGTATTGGTAGTACTCTGTGTGATGGACCAGCTCATAGAACTATGCTCACTCACCACCTCCCACATCTTCTTCCGGAAGTTCTTACCCACAATGACGTACAGGACTGGGTTCAAGTCGCTATTGAAATATCCCAAGTACAAAAAAAAACTTCTGCAGATTATTAAGTTTTTTTCAAAGGTGCAAGTTAACTTAATGACCTCATATCTTACCATGAGTGCAACAATTCTCGTCACATTAAACGGAAACCAGCAGACAAAGAAAGCTAGCAGCACGGTCAGAACTAAAATGGTGGCTTTGCGTTCACTTTGCTGAGTGCTGTCTTTCTGCAAAGGTCTTCCCTTCAGTGCTATCACGATCTTAACTGTGCAGAATGAAATGATAAGAAGAGGAATGATGAACACCAAGACGGTTTGAATAATCTCGTGTGCGAAGAACACATCAGTAGGACCGTCCCAAATACATATATGTTCAGTACCGTTGGTTGATTCATTAGCCAATACTGCCTTTTTGTATAAAACGAATGGCATGCTTAAGAGGAATCCAAAGATCCAGACCAACATGCAGGTCAAAATTGCATATTTACGTCTGCGCAGCCTGCACTGTGTCAGAGGGTACACCAACGCCGTAAAGCGATCGATGGACACCAGGACGAGAAAATAGATGCTGCAATCATAGTTAATGATGACCAGAACGCTACAAGTCTTACACAAAATGTCACCAAAAGGCCACGCAGAGTTTTTAGCCGCTGACACACCCCACAGGGGGATGAAGACCATGAGCAGGATGTCGGCGGCGGCCATGTTGCTCAGGTAGATCTCAGTGGCTGTACAGTTCTTCTTGTGGAGCAGGAAGACTAGCAGCACCAGCAGGTTGAAGAGGATGCCCAGAGCAGAAATGGTGTAGATGTAGGGAGGGACCCACGTGAAGTCAAAGTCACTGCGGTCACACTGCTCGACCAGGGGGGCGGGGGCCACACTGGTGTTTGCAAAGCTGAAAGAACAATAACAAGACATTCAGATGGAAAACAAGCACTTTTAAAGGAGAAAAAAATATGTATTCATTTTCCTTAAACTTGCTCTGGATTGACCGGTCAGTCTAGGTTCCCACCCTCACCTATAGTCATGAGATCACAAACAAGCATTTAAAATTAGCATTCTGCTCCATGCATTTGTTTTGGATGCCCCATGGGAGGAGGAGGAATACTCATTCATTTCTCATATAATTTTCACCATTCAAACCAGCACTTCTTCCATACCCCTCAAGTACAAAAGGAAAGGCAACTCAGTATACTGTAAAGCCCCAAAAGACTGGAATCTACTTCCAACTGCTGTTTAAAAATGCTGAAGTTGGGAAGAGTGTGTAGGCGACGGCGTATTTTGTCCTCACTGTACATTTTGTCTTGTGTCGTATTTTCTTTGTAATGTAACTGGAGAGAGCTGGAGGAAGTGTGTGTCCAGAGGGAAGTCTGGGCGTCTGCTCAGACTGATTCCTTCAACAAATAAAGAGGAAGGAAATGTAACATTAATCATGTAAAGGCTGCGGTTGTTACTTATTGCATTTGATTTTGAGGATTCAAGGGGATAAAGGAAACAACAATTATCACCCATTCGCTGCCTCAACTTGTCAAAGGGTCCCTCCATTCGAATCCAAACAGATGAATTTGATTGTTATAGATCTTTGACAGGCCTCTGACTGTCTCTGTGTCTGTTGTGTTGTCTGTATGGGCTACTGATGGGCGCTTGAAATAAAGAGCTTCAGAGTGAGGCCTGAAGAGCTGCGGCTTATCTCCACACCCTCCAGGGACACCGCTTTCAAACAGACACGATCGCTCCCCTGGATAACTCTATTATGGAATACAGGGAGATAGAAGTACTCTCACATTGAAACGCTGAATCTGTCAAATCTCAGAAGTTAGTTCAGAGATGGGAGACCTCTGGAAACACCAGCTGCCACAGTGGGCGGCACGGTGGCTGAGTGGATAGCACTCTCGCCTCTCAGCAAGAAGGTCCTGGGTTCGAATCCCGGTCGGACCAGGGCCTTTCTGAGTGGAGTTTGCATGTTCTCCCCGTGTCTGCGTAGGTTTCCTCCGGGTACTCCGGTTTCCCCTACCATTAAAAATATGTCCAATAGTTCTGGCATGCGCTTCCTGTACTGGCCCCGCTCCCATCTCTGTGTGGAGTGAGAGACAAATGCCCATAATTAACAATTGTAAACCGCTTTGAGACTCAGATCTGCAGTGAAAAGGCGGTATATAAATAAAAACTTACTTACTTACTTACTTACAGAGGGGCGGCTGTATTGTGCCAAACCTTTGTATATGTGGTCAGGTATTGCAATGTGGTTTTACCGTAAATGACAAATAAACAGAATCTGAATCTGCTTTGACAAGACCCCCATTGCCTCGTATGAGTCTGGTGTGTGTGTGAATAATTGCTGGTGTTCAGAAGAGCTAATGGCACATACTGGTTTCCTCGCTTCTGTCAGTAAATTACAATAGTCATCATTGAATAATATCATATGAAAGGGTTTTCAGTGTCCGGAAACATGCTGTACAAAACCAACATATAAACGTGCTATATAAAACCAGAGAAACAAGTCTGAGTGTGTGAATGAGATGGAAAACGAATGATAACATGACACGTCAGCTGTACCAATGGTATTAGATGTTCACAAACGTTCTCCACGAAATGTTGCCAATGAACCAACACATTATTTTAGTTATATGGAATACAAGGAGACAAAGGTACTGTCATATGGAACAGGAAGGAGATGCACTTTCTTATCTAGCAGTGTAACGGGAAACAGAAGTACTAAAGACTTGTAAGGATTTTGAAATTAAAATTTTACGTATTTGTAGCAAATAAAGTTGCCATTCAATGTCATAGAAGTCACAGGTCTTTGCTCCATCACCTTCGTAATTCTCTCCAGTGAAAATAACAGAAAAAAGAAAAGTCTTGGGTGCATTTTTTATGAGAAAATCGTCCACTTTCTCTATTTGTCATGAGTAACATTTGAACAGAGGAAATGTGATATTATGCTCCTGAAGTCTCAAAGGGTTAAATTCTGTGTCACTGTTTAAACTTGGATCCTGATATTAGTTCGGCTTCTAAACATCACCAAATCCTGGGCAGAAATAAACAGGGAAAAACAAAGAGAATACAATTGTCTCTTCCACAGCTTCTATATCCTCACTTAATTTCTCTGAGCAGCAGCCTGAAGGTGTCCAGATACTGTTGTGCCTGGCTTTAAAAATAGTTTCTTTTCGAGTCATTAACAGTTTTATAACGTTGTTCCTCGTCCAAAACAAACCTGGAGTCGTTAATAGCTCCATCCACACTAATACCAGGAGCTTTTTGCAAAAACATGCCTTCTCTAAATCAGTCGTGTCCAAAGTTTAATCGCTGTGTCATTTCACATTTCACAGCATCATCCAGCCAACTTCAGCTCTGTAAAATGTCAATCAATAGTCGCAGCCCCACTGAGAAGAAATGTAGGTATTTGTCAAAAACAATTTAATGTACAGTGGGGCAAACAATTATTTTGTCAGCCGCCCATTGTGCAAGTTTCCCCACTTAAAAAGATGAGTGAGGCCTGTAATTATCATCCTAAGTATACCTCAACTATGAGAGACGGAATGAGAAAAATGCCAGAAAATCACATTGTCTTAAGACTTTATTTGCAAATTATAGTGTAAAATAAGTGTTTGGTCAATAACAACATTTCCTCTCAATATTTTTTAGGCAATGACAGAGCTTAAACATTAAGTCTTCACAAGGTTTTCACACACTGTTTGTGGAATTTTGGCCCATTTCTCCTGCAGATCTCCTCTAGAGCAGTGATGTTTCGGTGCTATCGCTGGGCAACCAGTATATCATTCACCAATATACTTATAATTACAGAAACTTGATGGAGTCAAAATAGCTAGTTCATAAACATTTCCCTGACAACTTGATACAACACACAGGCTTTTTATATTTGATGCATGCTGAGTGTTTTTATACTGTTATTGAGTCTAATTGCTGCATGCTATTCATTGGTTTTATTGTTTTGCTGTGATTTTACTTGCAAGATTTTAGACTTTGTTTTTAACTGGTTGCCCTCACAATCACGAACATCACGTCGCCCCTGATCAGCACAGCCCAAGACAGAGACGCTGGGAGTGGAGCGCATCATGCTGTTTATATATATCTAATAAAAAACACTTGTTTGGATAATTTCATTTGTTGGTTGGCATAATCCGATCTGTGACTGGGCCGGGATGGTGTCCTTGGCGGACGATGATGAGGACTTGATGCAGTTTAGTCAGGATTTAGGGAGTCCGGGTGCGTTTGACAGGAGTAGTAGAGAGGGGGGATTGAGCAGTAGCCAGGTTAGGAAACGGGGCTTGGATGGGAATAGTTCAGATGAGGGGATTTCGGGCCGCAAAAGGATAGTTAGGGAGCAGCAGAATCCTAAAGTAATTCTTAAGTTTCGGCAGGAGAATGATATTAAAAATATGAGCCTGGTCGTGTTGTTGAGGGAGTTGAAAAAGAAAATAGGAGATGTAGAAGTGGCAAACGTGCTGAGAGATGGGAGTTTGTTGATTGTGTGTAGAGCAGAAAAAAAAGTGTTGCAGTTGGAACATGTGTGCAAGATAGCAGTGACTGAAAGATGAGTAGTTGGAGAAAAGAAGGCAGTGCGTGGCGTCATAACAGGTGTCCCCTTAGACGAGGACCTGGAAAGGTTTAGACAGTGTTTAGGTGGAGGTGTCAGTGGAATTAGACGGTTGATGAGGCGAGTGGATGGTCAGAGTGTGGAGAGCTTATCGGTTTTTCTGGAGTTTACAGGTGCAGTACTCCCTGGAAAAGTAAAAGTGGGGTGTTTGTTCCGCCTCCTCTCTGGTGTTATAAATGCCAACTGTATGGGCATGTGGCAGCGGTCTGTAGGGGGAGGCAGAAGTGCCCTAGATGCAGAGGGGAGCCCAGGGAAGAGGAGTGCAAAGAAAACAGTACTCAGTATGTACAGTAGTAACTGTGGAGGGCAACATGCTGCAACCTATGGATTGTGCAGATCAGGCAAAGCATAAAACAGATCAGATTAAGATTATTCTGAAAGGAGCTGAAAAGTACCTCGGTATAGAGGTGTTTCCTGGGAACAGGTGAACAAAAGGTTGGAGGAGGAGAAGAGAATGGTTGTGGGGGGGGAGTGAGAGAGTAGTATGAAAATCATTCAATGGAGTGCAAGGAGTTTAATGGCTAATAGACAGGAGTTGAAAGGTTATGTGCAGAACAAGGAGAGGAGACCTGATATTATATGTGTTCAGGAAACATGGCTTAGGCTGTCATTGGATTTTGTGATTAGGGGGTATGAATGTGTGCGTAGGGATAGACAAGGCGGTAATGGTGGAGGGTGTGCTGCTTTTGTAAAAAATGGAATGCAGTATAGGGTGGTGAGGAAGGGGACAGAGCTTGAGTTTATTGTGGTAGAGGTGTGGGTGAGTGAGGGGAAAATTACCCTGGTGAATTCCTATAACCCCTGCAGGAGACTCACAATGGATACGTTGCAGGAACTGGATGATCACCTAGAGGGTAAAGTATGTTGTGGTGATTTTAATGCACACAGCACATTGTGGGGTGAACGGAATGATGAGAATGGGTCAGTGATTGAGGAACTATTGGATGTTAGGAATTTAGTGTGTCTGAATGATGGGAGTGGAACACGGATTAACTTCCAGAATGGGAATGAATCTGCATTAGATCTTACTCTAGTGTCAGAGTCTATTGCAGGGAATTGTAAGTGGAGGGTTGATAAGGAGACTACTATAGGTAGTGACCATTATCCTACAGAGGTTGAGTTGGGTTTCAGTGTTGAAGAAGTTACCACAGAGGGAAAATGGAGTTTTAGTGGTGTTAAGTGGGATAGATTTAGTTACATATGTGATAGGGAAATGGAAAGGTAAATGTTAATGGAAGTGTGGATGATTTTAATAGTTCTCTATGTAGTGCAATTTT